ACAAAAAAAAAAAAAAAAAAAAAAAAAGTGGTACAACTGCAGCTTTTGGATCCTGCAGGTAAAAATGTGAAATTTTACCATCACTTGGGAAAACAATTTCACAGTTTCTTCAAAAAGCAAATACTGGCCAGTCATCCCCTTCCTCAGTTCATCTTAAAAGATCTTTAAAACAAGAAAACAACCATAAAAATCTTGCACACAAATAATCACAGCACTTTTATTCATATCCCCACAAGGGAAATAACCCAATGTCTCTCACATAGAAGAGTGAATAAGCAAACTATGATGAATTCATACCGAGTAACACTCACTAATTAAAAGGAATGAACTTGATTCACTCAATAATATGGATCATTTTAAAACATTGTACTGAGAGAAAGAAGCCACAAATAAAAGAGCATGCATTCTATTTTTCCATTTCAGAGTTCTAAAACAGCAGTCATTACTCTAAAGTAAAACAAATCATACCAGTGCCTCTGGTGACATGAAAAATGTTTTTATATCTTGAAGGGACTGTGGTTGTTACCTTGTGTATGCATTTGTCCAAATTTATTGAAATGATTCTGCATTTCCTTGTATGTAAATTATGCTTTAGCTGTAGATGTGAAAAGAAAAAAGAAAAGGCACTGTTCAGTGATAGAGGAAAAAAAGAACTTAATCAGAGCAATTTTATGATTTAGTAATTTTACTATTGGTTTTCCCCCCTTGCTGGTCTTCTGATGGGAAAGACAAGAACAGAATTTATGAAAGCAACCTAAATATAACTGCCTATACTCCAGTATTTACAGGTGAAGATGACTTCAAAGGAACTTTAGGGAAAATGAACATTTAAAATCATTTAATATTTCTCATTCTTCTTCTTACGAGTCTTGGCTGATTGAAACTAAACTAGATGAGTGTTGTTTTAAGGAAGTAAGGTTGAAAGGCTGCTGTGGTCATAGGAGATGAGCTGTTCCCCAAATGAATTGTGCAGAGTGTGAGCAAAACAAGATCAACTGTCAGCAAGCCAGTGGCCCTGTCCTAGATAGAGATCTCTGAGTCAGGACTCTCTCCAGGGGGAAATACTTAAGCATTTGAGAAAATGACCATCAATGGTGTTTTCATTCCAAACTGCCAGTGAACTCTGAAAATGTAAATCCAGAAGTCAGGGATGAATTGAAATCTTTGTTTCTGAAATCAACCCAGTGAGTTCTCTGAACTCAAACTTGATCTGAGCTGAAGGAATTTCATCTTCAATATATGCTGTTTCTTTTTGGGCCCACTTGGGTCTGACTTAATTTGTAAAAGAAGGATGAGAATCAGTGACTGATTACCTCTGTTGTACATAGAACATATCACAATATTCAAATAAACATGGTCTAACCCACAATTGGAGGCAGAAATTCTGCCAACTAAAATCACATATTGAAAAAAGTGTCAAGGATAACAAGGAGGAAACTAAATGTGAATTACCTTTGTAGATTTTTTTCTACAACAGAATTGAGTTATTGGAAAATACATTGGTGGAATAACCTATCAAACTCTCCCAAGAAGATAAAGGATTGGCTTCCTGAAATAAACAAACATTCAAAGAACTAGAGAGGAAGGTACTCTCTACTCTGCATTAATAGCAACATTTTTTAGTGCAACAAATTCTAGGAAATCAGTTTCCAATCTGGTTTTTCAGACTCTCTGAGGAAAAGAGAAGATACTTATGGTTTTATCGCTTCTTCTGCAATAACAAAAACTGCTCCCTCCCTTTGGTCCTGGGAAGTGCCCCCGGATGGGATGAAAGGACTGTTTCAGAAATGCATACCATCTTGAGAAGGTGGAAATTTTCTCACCCTTCAGAAGCACTTGGGCTTTTGTCTCCCAGGTAAGAGTTGCATCTTGAGCATGATATTATGGGGTAAGAAGAACTTGTTCGAAGAGAAAAAAATATAGGACCCTATTATTAATTCAACAGCTACTCTGTTTGTTCCTAATTTCAACAACTATGGATAGATAGATAATGGTATGCTATGAATATAAATTTCAAGCAAATATAAGCTATAATTGTGTCTTCACGCTAAATTTGAAGTAGAATTAATGGTTATAACTTTTTCCAGTGAAGAGTCTAGTCGCTCTTAAAAAATTAACAACAAAACAGTAAATAGGGGAAAATAATAATTCCTACCCCTCCATCTCAAAACTTTAAAAAATTTCCCATTGCTTCTAATAGTTTCTAACTTCTCAGTCATCAAGCTCAGAATTTACACATTATCTTTTGTGATGCTCATATTGAGGATTTTATTAGTCTTTGGCTTCTTGCATTCATTCATGCACGGTCACATATCCACTCCTTTCTTTTTCCTATTTCTTTTTTTTTTTAATTGAGTTTATTGGTACATTTTAGGGATACAGTAGAGTTACATTCATTATTGGGCTTGTACCTCTACATGACAGGTCTTGGTTCTCATTTTTCCCCTTGTCCCTGCCCTCCCTTCACCCCTCCTCCCTTCCCCATTTACAACCACTTTATTTCCATCTTTTCATTTTCTCACATTTTTTTCTTTTCCCTTATTACCCTTCCCCTACCCATCCTACCTTCCCTACACCTTTAGACCTTTTCTTCCCATTTCACAATGTCAGTAATCTCATTAGGATCTTATGTACTATTACAGTTTATTCACACCAGAGAAACTATTTGGTATTTACACGTGTGACTTATTTATTTCACTTAGGAGTATATCCTCAATAGGTATCCATTCTTTATATAGAGAGGAATATAAATGCACATACACACATATATTTCTCTTATTATTTGATCACTTCTGCCTAGTACAGTGCTCTATTACTTTATGAATTGTATCTTATTAAATACATTTATATGCAACATGTAAACATGAGCATATTTCCACTGATGTTAGATTGAAAGCTACTCAAGGCAAGACAGATGGGCTTCGTGTTTCTATTTCCCAAGGACTTAATAATACATGTGACTTAGTCATTGCTCAATATGGAATCGAACACTTCCTAAATATGTCATGATTATTTGTGCCTCATCGAACATGCACTATTTTTTTTAATTTCCCACATCACCTGGTACATTTGAATGAACTCAGGAAATCATGATATGGTAAGAGAATTAATTGTCAATTGATTCATTTCTTTGTGATCATTCACAGTTCATCATGTCAGTATTACCGATTATTTTGAAAAAGGCAAGTTCTCATTTCCACCTTTGTCCTAACATCTTCTTCCAAGATACAAAAAAGAAGCTAAAATTATTTGCGAAATTCTAGTTGTTTTTGTTGAAGTAAGACAGAATATTAGAACAATTATGATTTTGAAATTCCTGAAGTGATTAACCAACAAAGGATTGTTTCAAAATGTAACAGTAATAACTGCCCAAAAGAGAAAATACTGTCTATCCTATATCTAATAAAGGAATTGTATTCAGACTATGTAAAGACTGAAAACTCAACAAGATGATAAATAACACAGTTTAATAATGAATGAGGGATATGATAGGAATTTTTCTAAGAAAATATACAAATACCCAATAGGTATAGCAAAAGATGTTCAATATAATTAACTGTTAGGCGAATACACATGAAAACCAGTTAAGATACTGTTTCCTGCTACTTAGGATTGGCTATAATCAAGACAAAAATAAAAAGTTTTAATGAGAATGTGGAAAAATCAGAAGCCTCATATATCTTTGATGGGAATGTAAATGACATGCAGTCATGTTGGAAAAGAGCACAGCACTTCCTTAAGTGCTAAACATAAAGTCAACATACAACCCAACTACCACAGACCCCTGAAGGGGTTTCTGATCTCCTGTTCAGTACTATGTCGCAAGGTGAGAAGAAAGACTCAGAGACGGAGTTAAAGAGGCAGAGATACAGGAAGCCAGGATGACCAATGCTCGCGCAAGAAAGGCTGAGCAAGCAAGGACCCTGAACACCCAGAGCTGTCAGTATTTACTGATGACGTCCTGGTTAGATTGAGATAAGGGGGCTGTGTGGAGGGACGCCGTGGAGTTGCTATGGAAACACTGCTGATGCAGGCAAGGCTTGTAAAGGAAGAGACAAAGCGTTCTTGAATTAGGAACAGAACAGACAAAATATAGGTTGCGGTTAGTAATTAAACTTGTGTTTTTAGCAAAGAAGGTTTTAACTCTGGGAGCGGAATTTAGGTGCATGTCACTCTGACCTCGGCACATCAACTTTGGCCAGACTCATTTCTATGAGCAAGCCAAATGCAGGGCTAACTCCTTACAGCCTGCATTACTCACTGTTTGGCTTGGGCAAAATCAATAGGGCAGTCCCCCGCACCCAGTAATTGTACTCTAAAGTATATACTTAAGGAGAATCAAAATATTTCTATTCAAAAACTCATGAATAAATGTTCCTAGCAATATTATTTTCACAGACAAAAAATAGAAACAACTCAAGTATTCCTCAACTAATGATTGAATAAAGAAGATACGGTCCATCTGTGCAATATTATTTGATAATAAAAAGGAATAAATAATGATGTTGCACACGGTATAACATGGACAAAGTTTTAAAATGATAGTCTAAGTGGAAGGAGCCAGGTACAAGGACCACATATTGTATATAATTCCATTGCTATGAAATGTAAACATTGGCAAATCTGTAGACACAATAAAGCAGACCAGTGATAATTTTGGGCTAGGGCTGCTTGGGGAAAATAAGAAATGACTGGTAATGAGTATGAGGTTTCTTTTTATGGTTGTTACTGCACAAATTTGGGAACATGTTTTTAAAAATCATTGAATTGTGCTTTAAATGGGGCAAATTGTATAGTATTTGAATTATGTGTCAATGAAGCTGTTTAAAATTTATAAGAAAATAACTGGGAAGGCAAAATCAATATCTACACAATCTTGAAAGTTTAATTTTCTAATGGGACAAGTTTTTAAAGGGACTTTTGTTCTTAAACATTGTTTTATTAAGATACATATTATTCTATATATTATCTAAACACATTTAAATGTCAACGAATATTTCTTGTAAAGAGTAGGATATAACTTACAAAGGTTTTTATTAAAAAGATAATAATATTGCTTTGGCTACATATAAAATGAGAGGATTAATTGGATAAACTTTAATAGTCCAATCATTAATAATAAAGTGTAGTTCTGCTTCTTTCCCTAAACAAATCCTGAAAATCTAGTTCACTCTTTTAGTATTAAACTGTATAGATCAAATTTTATTTAGTGTTCCTAAGTACAGTCTCATTTTAGTGTTCATAATAACTCTGGGAGGAAGATACTACTATTATTCTAATTTTCCATATGAGGAAACTAAGGTTTGTACAAGATAAGATTCAGCGTGTGACCTAGTAAATGAGGTAAGAATTAAGTCCAGGCATTCATGAAGACAGAGCTTGCAATCTTAACCGCTGTGCTTTACAGCCTTCCTACATAAGCATTCTGTTTACATATTTAATATATTGACTGTACTCCAATAGCCCTTTAAATTTTAAAGATCAGTGCTTGGCTGTCTTATCACATTCAGATGTTTCTTCTTCACTCTGAAATTTAGCTTTTTCTGAATAGTCAGATTTTAATAATCAGAGATTATAGGAACTGGTTGCAGAGTAGAAGACTATTATGCTTCATTTGGAGAATTGAGTTAGGTCTTGATGTATTTGCACACTGCAAAAGTTCCTTACCATGCACCAATTAAGGTCACTGAAAAGGTTGGCGTGTTTCCATTGTACTCATCCTGTGACTCCCACTTCCAGCTTAACTGAACTATTAAAAAACTTGAGGACAAGCTGTTTCCAGAAATGAACCTTTCAACTTCTCTAAATTCAAAAGCTGACTTTTCTGAGAACAAACATTATGCACTTGTTAAAAGAGTTGTCAGAGTTTCTTCAAGAGTTCTGTATTTTTCTCCTTTGAATGGGCAGGGTTCTGGTGTTTTTGTTTTTTTAAATGGTTTAACCTCTTGAGAACTGATGTGCTCCATTTTGATCTTGGAGAATTTTTAACACTGCTGTTTATTGAGTCTTTTCTGAAGAGTTAACCTCTCCTTTTAGGTTTTGTTTTTATTTTAAGCCAGAGACATGATGAAATGTAGTTTACCTAGAAGGGGCCATGGAGTGTTCGTATTTCCACCACTGAGTGCCAGCACAGAGCTTGCTGGTACTGATACTTCCATTAGAGAAAGTGGAGCTGTCAGAGTAACACAGACCCAGGGCCGAGATTTGTGGTTCTTGGCAGATAGCTGCTACTTTCCTGAACTCTGATGCACAACTATTCAACTGCTAATAGCGAGCAAAAATTACCCAAGGAATTAAAAGTAAGTTCAAGGAAAGTATTCATTTAAAAATAGCAACTCTGAGTTGGCATGAGAGGATTACATCAGGAGTTTAAATAAAAATTTGACAAGGCACCAGAACTTGATCCCACATGATATAAAATTACTGTTTTGCAAGAAGAAAAGCAACACTTAACAAGCAGTACCATAGTTTCCAAAATCAGTTTCTCTGGGAAATTGTTTCACAAAATGTTTGCACCAAACCACTATATTGTTTATCGTAGAGTCTAGTTTAGACTTGAGCCATTCTTGATTAGCATTGTAAAAAGGAAGAATGGAATATAGAATAATAACTGAAAATTTCTGCAGTTGAGTAATTAACTAATGGATGATGATGTATATTTTCCATTTGTTTATTAAGTAAAAATGTGTGGGCAGGACAATCAGAGAGAAAAGAATGAGCCATAGTCACTATACACATTTTTAGTCTTGTATAAGCAGATGTTATTAGAAACAATCACCAGGACAGAGCACATTAGATTACAAATTTAAAAAAAGAAAAAAAGAATCTCCTTGTTTAGGTTGGAGATGTTAGCTT